CAGAAAGAAATGATTTCATAAGCGAGACAGAAACAATCCAGTATAAGTGAGTACAAACTTGAATACTCATAAGTGACTGCCCATTTTCCACTCCTAAGAGGACGATGTAAGAGGTTCAAATTACCCATATAAAGGGACTTTTCCGGAGAAATGCCCTTAATTTCTTTCAAGACACTGTCGATCCTGATAAATGTGTCATCATCACATTTCATTATGTAGGAAGTAGAAACATTTTGGACCTGCAAAGAAGATATTAGGCCATTAAATAACTACAAGTCAATTATGAAATGACTCAACAAAACTAGAAGTTGATAATAAAAAAAAAATTTATTAAAAATATTAAAAGAAACATAATAGAATAAATTCTATGAGAGCATCATCCTCTAAAAATCTATGAAAGAAGACAGGGATAATTATCAACTCACCCCATACTCACAAATAGCAATTGTTTTAAGAACTACAAGCTCATAACGATCCATAAATGGCAAGATCACAATATCACCAAAGTAATCGGCCTCCTTCTTCAACATTGCATTCACCTCCTTCCTTGGATTCTACAAATTGGTTTCTTAAATGAGCATGAAAAACCAGCACAATAAGGACAAGGAAGTATGCTAACAAGAAAAGGGACAAATAAGTACATATTAGAAAATAAGCACTTCTCAAATAGGTAGACAGCAGAGTGCACATTGATGTGCCACAATTGACTCAGCATTTCAAATCCAAAATTTATAAAAATCAGTTTATTACTTACCTCACCTGATTAATTAGCTAATCAACTATCCCAAAAACTTCTTTTCATGCATAGTGTGGAGATTGAACCCCATAAAGGAAGTAGAGATCTATACCTCTTCTGATTGTCAGAATTGTTTCCTAATATTGTACTGTGTATATTCCTGTTTAACTGCAGTCCAATATCAGATCCCTAATTTGTATCACACTTTATTTTTATCCTCGTATTAAGTAGTTTCCTATCATAAATTATCTATACATAGGAAAGGATGTAAATCATAATAGATATGAGAAAAGCATTATGCTTCTTCCACCTCTTTCACATTTACTCCATTATTGACTGATCAATTATCCAAAAAGTTTGTTTTTTCATGCATAGCATGGAGATTGAACCCCAGAAGGGAAGTAGAGAAGTCGCCCTAGATTGCTGCCATTTTTTGGAGAAAAGGTTCTCTTCTCAAAGCTGACTACAAAGAAATTTCCTAAGGGCATGACTGCATCTTATTCAATTTGCTGTTGCCCAATTTCCCCTTCCTCAGCTCAACTGCAACAGAATTCCCTTTAGGCCTCAACTACATCTATTTCTGTTTCCCCGTGTTTAGGTTTGACTATGGTTACAGAACCTAAAGCATGAAAAAAGTAAAACTAAAGAAAACATTGCTGAGAACAGTGCAGTTAAAATTGAATTGATGGGCAAAAATCCCTCACTGCAGATTAATTTAATAAAGTTTGACGGAACCCAATTACCTGCATGATCATGGTATTGTTAATCTAAAATAGTGGTCTTCAAGG